GTCTTTAAGGTCCCTTCCTACCCAAACCATTCTAGGATTTATTCTGTGATTCTTCAAACTAAGGCTCTTCTGGGGCAATTTCAGTGAAATGCAGCATTTATACCATTCACCGATTCCTGTGACTTTTGGGGTAGTTCCATGGAAGGGACTGGAGGATAAGGAAAGCTGTCAATCTAATGGCACAAACACCACACAAGAGGTGTCTGCACAGGTGTCGGATGTTGGGATATCATCACAGAACTGACCTCACCTGAGAGGACAAAGTTTCAACTCATCTGACTCTCTCTGTTATGTCAGGTTCTTAAAGATCCACAAAGACTGACATCTTTTAAGGCTCCCATTTTGCAAAGTTTATGTAACTCTGTGTATTCTCTCCATGGTTAAGAAAAGGGGAATGTTTAAGGCTTTTTCTTTTAAACAGTGGCAGTAAAATAACTTCCACAATCAAAGCTACTGTAACAAATCACCAGCTGTAGAAAGGAGTAAAATCTTGTATTTATATTGATCTTGTACATAGATCTGGTTTTATCAAAAGTGTTTTCAGTCTGTCAGAGGCTGCTCAGTAGAAAAGCAAGAATCTTGAGTACTCCTGAAACCCCTCTGCAGTGTTCCAGTGTGTCTAAGCCCCATGGAATGCCACCTTTTCAATTCCATTTTTCCCATGGCAGAAAATGAGATGATCAACTTGAGAAAGAAGATAGATTGGGAACTCTTCAGTGTTTGAAGGGGAAAATCCACGAGGAAAGGAGTTTGGTATTTGTGCTGCAGTAGAAAGCAACACTAGTGTAGCTACAGGCTACATGAATCACAGCAACCAGAGAACAGCACCTGTGAATAAAATGGTAAATTTGCCAAATTAGAGGCTAAAGCAAACCTGTAACAAGCAGCTCATAAATTAGTTGCACACATGATTATCTTCTCAGAAACTTTTACTGACTACACTACCAGAAACAAGGCCCAGAACGTGAGTTTTCCATGTCAAGAAAGTGCTGTAAAGATTTGATCAAGGTGACTTCAGCTGACACAGGGTCATCCTGGAAAACAAAAACCATGTTCAGGCCTAGTGATGCTTGAACCTCCATTATCAATTTTTCTTCAGGAGGATCTAACCCACTAAATATTTTGCCTGACTCTGCCTGAGTGTTGTAAAGCTGCTGAAAATCAGACTTTGATCTCATTCCTGAAGAGGCCTGTGGGACCAAAGCAATACTTCTCAGTCACTCCTGACTCACCTGACCACGCAGTGGGCTGATGAGGCATTTAATAGATCACCTGTTATATTTTGTGAGGCCTTTCATAAACACGTGGGTACCTTGACTTTCACTGCTTTTCTGAACATGGCATGGAAACTGGATGGCCAAGAGACAATGCCAGAAGACATTGCCAGGTACTCTCAGCCTCTGCTGCCACCAGGAGGTGACACCCACGTGTTCCACAGTGAGCAGTCATGTATTACACAACAAATCATACCGATTTTCTTCAAGAAAAATGCTTGGTCACCGACATTACAATGAATATACTTATCTTTAGTTCCTCTATATATTTAATTTTTCAGTGTATTCTTCCAACCTTGCAAACCCAACTGCATGAATTGTTTTGTTTTTTTTTTTTCCTCAAATACAGATCTGAAAGTCTGGTTAAACTGACATTTCTAACATTTCCATAACTGTGATGCTATGGTGTTCTCCCATGTACTTCTTTCATTATCAGGTTATAGGAAGTTGGTTTCCAAAGTGATTTTGTGGTTCTTGCACCCAGAAGTTATCAGCAGTTTGGGCAGTTTGACACCAGCTGCTGCTGCTGCCTGCTCACTGCAGATACCGTGAGTACAGATGATGTGATGGGAATCACGGAATCATGGAATAGTTTGGGTCGGAAGGCACCTTAAAGATCACTAAGTTCCAACCCCCTGCCATGGGCAGAGATGCCACCCACAAAATCAGGTTGCCCAGGAACAAGGGAGGCCACTAAATTCCCTGCTCTCTCTGGAGCGTTTCAATTCAAAGCTCTTTTAATTTAATATGGAGTCATTGCTTGCTTTTTACACGTAGGTCTTACTTGTGATTCCCCTTAACATCTATATTCAGCTGTGAGTAAAGTCAATTTTTGTCTATGCCTGAAAATATTGCACAAATCCCTATTCAGAATTGTTAGAGATAATGGATACTCAGTGGGGCGTTTCCAGAGGTGTTACCAGTGTGAATGGCCTCATCTGGGCAAAGCAGGGTTTGACAGAGGCTGCTGCTTCCAGGGCTGCTTGGAATCACAGCTGTAATAAGTGCCCAGTCACCACATCCCTGATGAGAGGCCAGAGATCATCCTCCCGAGCAACTCCACCTCGGCAAAGCAGGGAGGGAAGGCTCTGTCCGAAGGGATGGGGAGCATTTAGCCAGGAAAGCTTTGGTGGCCTGGGATCAGAGCTGGAAAATCTGCATTTCCACTGACGTGCATTCCCCCTCCAGTGCTGTGCAGAGGTACAGGTCATGTAAAGTGGGGACCGTGATGGATTTTAACTGCAATTAACTGTAAAAAAATTTGGGGAATCTGGGTTAGAAGTGACTAGGCAGAGGGGTAGAATAAAAAGGCTGGAGTTTCTTGCATAGGAATCGAGATTTCCCATAAAGTTAATGCGGTTTTGGAAAAAGGCAAAAATTGCTGGCAAAGCAGAGCCTTGAAAGGTTTATGAGCAGCAAACAACACATCTAAAAGGAGGAGGCAATTTATACTATTTGTTTATTTTGATTTGCGACATTCCCTGGGTTGTGGTTTTTTTGTTTGGTTGGTTGGTTTTTTGTTTTGTTTTGTGTTTTGGTTTGGTTTGGGTTTTTTTGCTATGCTTTACACTTCTTAAGGAAAAGAACTAATCATATGGCCATAAGAGGGCACAAGTCTTTTTTACACCAGGGATTTGAGTACCCTGTGGGTCACCAGCCATTTCATGCTCTGGGAACCCCTTAGAGTGACAGCCAAATGATATCAAGTCCTGGTGGTTTTTTTGCATGCACAGTGATGGCAATCACAAGTAGGAGGTCACAAATAGTCGAGAGGATTTAGGTCTGGTTAGTCCTAATCTGAGACAGAGAAAATAGACTGGACAAGCTTGCTGGAACACCTGTCCCTTCCTGCAGGGCTTGAGCTTTTAATTGCCCATGGGCAGCCAGAATGGCCAGATGGTTTGGTAGCAGTGGTGGGTCCTGGTGGCTTGGACACCTAGGATGGCTGATCCACTGGCCAGAAAGGAAGGCAGCTCTGGATGTACCCTGAGGGGCTAAAACGACCCCATCTTTTTTAACTCTAACTTAAATTGGAGATAAAAAAGTTACTTTAATTTAGCCTGCAAGTGAAAACATTCATAGAACAGTTATGACTTCCAAACCCGTGACCTGAGGTGAACCTCGTGTTCTGTTGATAGCTGTGCCAATCATTGAGAAGACACTTCCTCTTCAGTGTGGAAAGACAACTTAGGCCATTTCAGCTGACCCAAGCCTGCTCTTTTGGATCTCACACCTCCATTCCCTGCAAATCTGGCAGTGGGGAAGGTGTTTTTTGCAAGAGAGGGGTGTCCCATGAACCCCTTCCTTGCAGCCAGCCCAGAGGAGATGAAATACCACCCTCAGCCACTGACATCAGCACAGGGCACTGCCAATATCCACACAGGTGGGCAACCAGTCCACAAAGGAGACACTGCTTCACCCAAGTACAATTAAAAACAATTCAAGAGGGAATAATTTTAAAAAAAACCCTTTTTATTTAGACCAACACAAGAAGAGCTAGATAGGATTTATGAGCTAAGTTTTTTTGGTTGGAGAGCCAATGTATACTTTAAAGCATCATCAGAGACCGAGAAGACGCAGTCTTGAACACCGTGTTGTAATAATTTGTAAAACAGATAAGACAGATTTTTTTTTTAAACCAATTACTTCCCATCCATTCAGAGGCAGATAAGCCCCCAGCTAAAATTCCTTTTCATTCCAGTGCTTGTAACGATGAAGATGAAATGTGATTTTCCTTCTAACAAATGCTCCAAAAAGCAAAACCAGAAAAAGCTCTCGTTTCTCTGTTATGGAAAATAGGTCTCGGCATGCTGCAAATTCTGCGTTTTACTTACTTTCTACCACAAATGCCTCATCTTTAAAGAAATGAATACTGTAATCATTTTCTCAGATTTATGTTTTCATTTCTGCCTCATTTGGCACTAATGCTGTGTTGTTACAAGAACAACTGTTCACTGCAAAAAGAATGATCTTTAGACTTCTCATCCAAGACCTTTGGAGTCACTGGGAATGAACTGCAAAGAAAGGCAGGGAGGCCGTGGACACGAGCAGCAGCTGAATAGTTTCCCACTGACCAGGCAGATTTTCTTCTTATTGCCTGATGACACAGAGCTGCAGTTTCCTACCCCTTCTCAGACTCTTCTCCAGGTAGAGGCTTGCAGTTTTCAGAAACGATAATAAACCGTGGGTCAAATAGGGTGCAAACAAGCTCCACGAGCAAATTCAGAGCCTGGGAACATCTTCACTGATGAGCGTCCCTGGGATTTGAAACGGCCACGCGCACCATCATCAGGATCAGGATCACAGCAGTGGTAACGAGTGCCACAGCTCCCGAGCCCTCGAGGGTTGAGACATGTGCTGGCAAGCCAAACAGCAACGAGGAGCGCTTTAACAATGAACTTGGAGAAGAATCTGGAGGGAATTAGTGTCAGGCATGTGTAAAGAAGGTTACTTTTCCCATCTCCAACACCTATAATTACATCTCAAACGTGCTAATAAAATCCAGTGGTTACAGTGGGGGTTGTTTTGGTTTTTTTTTTTCCCTCTGTGTCAAAGTTAAGCATGCTGCCATGACATCTAAGAAAAAAAAAAAATCAACTTTCTTACACTTCCAGTCGCCATGCAATCACCAGAAGCGATGACGGCTGGGTCAGAAGGGCCGAGGTGCGCTCCTGGCTCCCGGGAGCTGTGCTCGGGAGCGGCCCGCCGCCCCCCGCCTCGCCCCGCTCAGAGGTGCGGGGCGTAGAAGGGGCCGAGGTACGCGGGGCCGAGGAAAGGGGCGAAGGGACCGGCGCCCAGCGGGAAGGGGGCGGCGGGCGGCACCAGGACGTTGGCGGCGGCGTAGGAAGGGAAAGTCTGGAAGGGCAGAGCGGCGGGGCCCGGCGAGCTGGGGCTGCCGCCTCCCGCCGCCACCGCGGGGGATGCTGCGGGGGCCGCGCCGTCCGCTCCCGGGTGCTGCTTCTTCCACTTGGTGCGGCGGTTCTGGAACCAGATCTTCACCTGCGTCTCGGTGAGGCTGAGAGACAGCGCCAGGCTGAGGCGCTCGCAGACCGACAGGTACCGCGTGGCTCGGAACTTGTTCTCCAGGGCCACCAGCTGCTCGTAGGTGAAGGCGGTGCGCGCCCGCCGCGGTTTCCCGCAGCCCGGCTCTGCCCGCCGCCGACGGGAGCCCCGCGGCGAGCCCGGCTCCTCCGGCCCGGGAGAAGGCCCGCTCTCGGTCCCGTCCCCTCTCGGGTCCTCCTCGTCGCGATCCTGCCCCGCGTCCTCGGCGCCGCTCTCCGCCGGGCCGTGCGGATCTAGGCGAGATGGCAGCGCTCGTCAGATGGAGCGCACCTTCCTCCCATCACACCCCCACCCCCGCTCCGAACCCCGCTCTTCTTCTCCGGCATTCCCCCCTTCTTCCCCTCCCCAAGCGTGGAAGTATAAGGGCAATCATTGAAAATAAAATAAAAGGGAGAAAAACCCCTCCAGCCGTGCAAGAGGAGCCCCCCGCGCCCCCGCCCCCACCGCTGTGCCACCGCATCCGCGGCGTGGAGGGGGGAGGCGTCGATATGGATTTCTTACCAATTAAAAAAGAAGTTATTAAAGTCCCCTTCTGAAGCGAAATAAATCCCCTCCCCCCTCCCCATCCCCGCGCTAATGGAGTTTCAGATTTGCGAGGGCCAGATCGATAGATGTCATCTATTAAAGGTAAGTTTTAATCGAACAATATTAGGATCAGGCCGGGGGAAGGAGGTTTGAAGTGGGCACCTGCAAGCTGCGGGCAGGAGATAGGCGGGAGTCGGTAATAGGATATCGATCACCGGGAGCTAAGGCATCCTCCGGTGGGGACGGGCTGAGCAATTACCCAGCCGGCCGTCCCGCGGGCCGGGGCAGCCGACCGCTCCCGCCCCGGGGAAGGGGTGCGCCCGGGGGTGCCCTTCCTAGTGGACCAAAAAAAAAAAAAAAAAAAAACCACCAAAAAAAAAAAAACCAAACAAAAAACACCAAAGAAACACCCAAAACAAAAACGTGCGGTGCCCCAGTAAGAGCCGTGCTCCGTCCGGAGCCGGCGTGGGGCGGCGGCGCGCCCCGGGATGCGCCGTCCTTGTCGGGCGATACAGGATGCCCCGCACGCCAGGAACCGTGAAGGACACATGGATAGCGAGAACTTTTTCCGTTTGCATCATCGAGACTTAAAATCCAGCTCCAACCCCCCCCATTCCCTCTCTCCTGTGGGAGCCCCGCCGCGCGCGGGGGTCCCCTCTGTCGGTGCTTCCACCTGCGCGCCCCGCCAGCACCGGACGGAGAAACTCGAGCGCGTTCCTACCATGTGCCTCTAGTTTATTCCTCCCGCTGCCGGGAGCAGCAGCGTCCTTTCCTATTTCAACTCTTCCCAAACTTTTCTCCCGCTCGCCCGAGCGGGGGGCGCTGCCCCAGCTCCCCGCGGCCGGTTCGCGTCTCCTGCTGAATTTCTGGGGATCCAGGATGTCTAAGATGGAGAAGGAGATTTTACGATGGATGGGGGCCGTCTTGGCCCCGCGGTCCGGGCATTCCGGCATCCCACCCCACCCTCCGAGCTTCCCGGGGACCTGCTGGTTCCCAGCGCTGCGCCGGGCGCGGAGCGGGGCCGCTCCCGAGCCTCAGCCTCGGCGCTGGCGGCGCGGAGTGAGCGGCGGGAGGAGGGTCGGATGGGGAGGCGGAGGGGCCGGCGGCGGGGTGGGGGCAGAGGAGGGGGCAGCGCAGCCATTGGCACGCCGCCCCCGCGCCCCCCTCCCCGCCGCGCTGGCTCCGCGGGGGCGCAGTGGGCGCCTCCCTCCATACCACCCTCCCGGCGACGGGGCTTTCCCGTCACCTGTCCCGGGAGGGGCGGGGGAACGCGCAGCGAGGTGGGCCGGGGGCGGCCAGGACCCTTCCCCGGGTTCTCCGCCAGCGCGTCGGCAGCTGTCGACGCCCGGGTTCAGAGAGCCCCTCGGCTGCTGCTGTCCTCGCACTGTCCGCTGACACACCTGCAGCTCCCCGCTCAGTGCCGGCCCAGCGGGGTGACCCTCGTGTTCAGAGGGACCCAGAGAGGAGGGATGGCTGCTGCATCCCTCTGCTGCGCCGGCCGGGCTCCGGGCTCCAAGCACTCCCTCTGCCAGCGGCCACTCTGAGATGCGAAACTACTGCGTGGTCTGCAGGGAGAAATGAGCAGCTTTTCGTTTTGAGGCAGCTTAGGATCAGTCTGGTTCAGACTTTGGGCCAAACCCCTGCAATTCACCCATGGTGCTCAGATTGTTCTCAGTGAGTAGGTAGGGAAACTGAGGCTTGCCTGTGTTGGAAGAGTTCCTGCCCCACTAAGCAGCCCCTGGACTAACTCTCCTTGCTGGAGGGGGAAGCACTTTGTTGTGTGTTGATACCTATAAAGCAGGGTAGGTGATAGCAGGCCAAGCCTCTCTGCACCACCTTGCAACAGCCCCATGATCACTTCTAGCCAGCCCTGCTTATTAAAAACATGCTAGTAGCGTATTCCTGTATACCTCTATCTGGTCAGGGGGATGCTTTTCCCTCTCCTTAGCATTTCAGCATTTGTTGGTACCATAAATAACCAGACAGATGAAGGGAAAGGCACCCTTCAGCCAGGGAAGACAACCCTCAGTAGGAATCTGCTGCTCCACCTGCTTCTATTCCTAGGGAAAGATGCAGAGCACAGCCCTCTTCCTCTTCACAGGTGTCTCAGCCTCAGCAGAACTGGAACTCAGTAATCCCAGTGCTATTGCAAAGACCTTAAGGTAACAGGAGAACAAGATGATGAGACGATGATGTGCAGGGTGATGTGATTACAAGCAGCTGTCGTTGTTAATTATGTGGTGGCAGCATCCAACAGCCCATTTGGCCTCTGGGATGGGATACCATAGGTGTGTAGAAGCAAAGGGAGCTCTGGCCTGAGGAGTTCACATTCAGAAGCTACAAGTGGGTAAAGCTTGGTTTTGGGGATGCAGGCAGTGGAGAACTGGAGGAAAAAAAAAATCATTTGATATATTTGAGACCACAAATACTTCTCTTAGAGTCGTTGGGTCTGCAGGAGCTGAGAAGGCAAATTGTAGCACTGAGATTAATTTGTGAGCTAACAGACATCTTCAAATATCATCCATTTAACACCTGTATGCACAGCAACCTGCAAACACACACAAACACACGTGTGGAAAGGCACATGTGAAAAAGCACACCCTCAGGGATTAGTTTTAGCGCCCTGAAGTTGGTCCGTTTCCCAGCTTGAGCATTAAAATTCAGCCCGAGTGCTGTCTTCAAATTGCTTTGATGCTAGGTGGGTTTCAACCCTGACCTGTCCTGACGGCAAGTGATGGCTGTAACAAGCTGTGGATCAATATTCATAGCGGGTGTCCTGGGCTGATAACACTATCCAAGACAATGTTCACTATCGGTGCAGACAGCTGAGATATTGCGCCATTAGTAATGTTGTTTTAAATAACCTGATCCATTTCTGGGTCTATTTAATGAATTTCACAGTTTAGATATAATCTTTAAGGAGAAGCCAGAGGCTATTCCAGAAGCGGTGATGCAAATCAATGCTGCCAAGGCTCCTCTGCTTTCCTTAAAACAAAATGGACTATAATTCCACCGCAGCTCCTTATATATTCTGGGAGCCGCGGCGTGCTATTGATGGTATTAGCAATGAGAAGGTATTTGAGAGGAAACAGTGTTATCTGTAAAGTTGGAACACAGCTGATAAAACCTTATTTGTAATGCAAAATTCTTTATATGACGACTCACTGTTGGGGGTTTTTTTTCTTGGTTGTCACATGAATCATAGGATGGCTCGGGTTGGAAGGAACCTTAAAAATCATCTCGTTTCACCCCCACGCCAAGGGCAGGGATGCCACCCGCTAGACCAGCTTGCTCCAAGCCGCATCCAGCCCGGGCTTGGGCGCTCCCAGGGCCGAGGCAGGCGCGGTTTGCCGGTGGGAAGGAGCAGCGTGCGAGCTGCTGCGGGGCGGAGCGGAGCCCGGGACTGCATTTCCCGGCATCGCCCGGCGCGGGGCCGTGCGGGCGGCGATGGCGGGCTGGGCTCGGGCCGTGCGGGGTTTGCTGCTGGATGTCAGCGGGGTCCTCTACGACAGCGGGGCCGACGGAGGGGTCCCCATCGCCGGCTCGGTCGAGGCCGTGCGCAGGTGGGTGCGCGGCCCGGGACCCCCCTCCGGCCGGGGCGGGGAGTGGGGAGAGGTGAGGGCACCCCCGCACGTGGTTTTGGCACCCCGGGGTCGGCGGTGGTCGCCTCCTGTAGGGCCGTTTAATCCTGCCGCGTGGAGGGTGACTCCCCTGTGTGAAGTCGCGGACGGAACAGCAAACGGGAACTCTTGGGGTCACCTTGGTGGTTTTTTAGGGTTATTTAAGGTGAGGGAGCCCGCAAACCCTGGGCTGTTGGGGAAAAGAGCGTGGAGCAGTGCGGCCGATCACATCCTGTTCGAGTTTGTATTTGGTGTCGTCAGTGCACACGCAGCAGCAGCAGCAGCAGGTGATACACGAGAGATATGACGCTACCCCCGGTAGTCATTTTTAAAATACTACACGCAGTGGCGTGGTGCTTCTGCAAATTGCTTAACTTTGCTGTCAAGTTAGCTGAGACTTCTCACAGAAAACTTGCAACCCAGCAGACATGGAAAATTCCTGCACTGGGGTTAATGATTGCCCAGCTTGGAAATGACTCAAAAGCAAAGTGTGGTTGGGATGAGTTAATCCCTGTGCCCACAGGTAGGGACCTTTTTCACTTTTAGCTGGGCGATGCAATCCATGTCACACAAGCTAAGTAAATTTGATTTAAGTAACCTGAATCAACTAGGTTGACTTGCCAAGTGTGTCTGTGCTGGCCCTGCTGGACCGGAGGAGCAGGATGGGGCCAGTGGCTGCAGCTTTGTTTAAAGACAAGTATTGATTGGTGTGTCTGCCCTGCTGGAGGAGGTTGTGGGTTTGTATAAGAGCCTTTTGGCTCTACATTGATGTTCCACTAACCCACTGCAGAAAATCCAGATCTGTTTCGTGTGGCAAGTGCTGGAAAGGGCTGTGAGCAACCTGGTGTAGTGGAAGATGTCCCTGCCCATGGCAGGAGGGGGAACTAGGTGCCCTTTAAGGTCCCTTCCAACCCACACCATTCTGTGACTGTGCTGCCATGTGTACCCCATTTGAAATGTTCTAAAAGTCTAAATTCTGAACCCTGAAAGGTTGACAGCTTGGTGAGCACCTCTGCAGTTTCTGATGTCTGGGGCCACTCAGCACACGGACGCAGTTGTGGTGAGTGCATTATTGAGCAGGAAAATATGCAGGAAGAAATACTGAAAACAGTAAAATTCATCACATGAGGTTAGTTAAATATGTGCCTGAATGTTTGTGGAACCCGCTGGAGAAGGTCCAAATGTAGTAGCAATAACAGAAGTCTTCGCTGCCTTTTTTTTTAGTAGTTATGTCTTTGTTCATACTTCTTGAAACACATGTAGTAGGCACAGAAAGTGTCATCAGATGAAGCTTTCGTTTCCATCTCCAGGATCAGAGTTACCGGTGCTGTCAGAGAGCAGTGTTTGAAGCAAGTTTAAGGCTCATGGAGGCTCATGGCCTGTTTGTGATGCTCAGCTGGCTGGTGGAAGCTGCAGGTGCCAGGACAGCCAGTGGGAGAGCAGCACTCCAAGGGAATTCAGTGATGTTGGGCAGAGGGAAAAGTCGCTTCTATAAAGACATTGCACTGTAGTGCTGTGGCATGGGGGTCTTTCAAGGAGTTGCTTGTGTGCAGTGCTTAGCATGGAACAGCCCAGATCATAGCCAAGGCCTCCAGGCATGGCCAAATCAAGCATAAATAGCAGCAACTGCGTAATTACTGCCAGGGATCAGATCACTCCTTTAAAATTCAGGACAAAGTCAATAATGCCTGTGTTGTGGTTCACTGGATGCTTTTGACATACTGGTTTTTCTTCCTAGGTTTTTAAGCATCGTCTTCTGTCGGGTTGCAGGCTGTTATTTAATAACCTTTGTCACTGCCTTTGCTGAGCCCTCTTGCATGGAGGCAATGTAAGCTGCAGCTTAACTTACAGCAGTATCAGAAATATGCTGATGAAACAACAGTAAAACTCTGGCCTTGGGCTAAGAAAATTATGGGATTTCTCTGGAAATACTGGAAATATCTAAACCCTTGTTCCTTGTTACTTACAGAAACCCCTCAACAGCTAATCTGACCTGTCTGCCTGTCTGGAAGGGTCTGGGGGCGGGTTTGGAGATGCAATTCAACAACAGGCTCTGGGAGAGCTGCACTGGGAAAGTTGATCTTGCTTGGGCAGGATCTGGTGAGCAATGGAGAAGCAGCAGTCATAGCTGTGGGAATTGGGGACAGCAGAGTGGAATTGGGGACAGCAGAATGGAAAAGTGACAGGAAGGAAAAAAAAAAAGCACCAAACCCAAACCGCTTTGTTCAGGTCATTCAGTGTAGGTGGTTAAGAATAATCATTTTCCTTGGGTAAAGTCAAGTAGCCTTATTTATCTGCCTATTAGGTTGGTAATTGTTCTAGCTCACACCATTTAAAATCTTTATTGACTCATTATCCTATTGCCAGTCGGTCATTAATATTTGTGTCTGCGTCACAGCACAGCTCAGTGGTTTCAAGCAGACGGATTAAAGCTAAAAGGACCCCTTTTTTAATTAATTCTTTTTTTTTTTCCTGTATCCATTAAAAAGTCATAATTGCAGGTAGCTGGGAACTTGATGCCTTATTCAAATTGATATGGTCTTTTGGTACAAGAGCTGTCTAAAATCTTTCAGTGCACATATGTGTCCAATAG